GCACACACACTCACACGTGTGCTGTTGTATATCCTGCACTCACACTCACGCGTGTGCTGTTGTATATCCTGTACTCACACTCACATGTGTACTGTTGTATATCCTGCACTCACATACACTCACACGTGTGCTGTTGTATATCCTGCACTCACATACACTCACACATGTGCTGTTGTATATCCTGCATACATATGCTCACACGTGTGCTGTTGTATATCCTGCACACACGCACTCACACGTGTGCTGTTGTATATCCTGCACTCACACACTCACACGTGTGGTGTTGTATATCCTGCACACACACGCACACACATGTGCTGTTGTATATCCTGCTCACATACGCTCTCACACGTGTGCTGTTGTATATCCTGCACACACGCACTCACACATGTGCTGTTGTATATCCTGCACACATATGCTCACACGTGTGCTGCTGTATATCCTGCACTCGCACACTCACACATGTGCTGTTGTATATCCTGCACACACACACACGTGTGCTGTTGTATATCCTCACATGTGTGCTGTTGTGTATCTGCACTCACATGCACACACACACTCGTGCTGTGTATACTCACACACATAGACGCACACATGTACACATTCTCCTTACATCCTTCTGACGTGATGCCCACCACTCTGACCGCTGTCGGTCATGCTCTCCCGGGCTGCAGCTCCCCCGCTGGGGGGTCGTCCCAGTGCCCGCCGGGCCTCTCCCGTGCTGGTCCTGGGTCTGGTCTGCTGTGTCTGGGGAGGCTCCTCAGTCATCGCTCAGATGTCACTCCTGTGTTGTCACCCTCAGGCCCGCGCTTTCCTGGCCGTCTGCGGTGTTCGCTTTGTCCCCATCCCCGCCGTGTCTCCCTCGGACCCCAATTTCGACTCATTTCTGGGACAATTTTGTCTCTTCCTCCCTTCCTTTTTATATGTATGTGATCCGTTATTGAATCAGGTTCTTAGAACCCCAGCTTGTGAGGGCAAACACGGATCGCAGGTGGCCTTGGAGCTGAGGAGCAGCTTTGACTCCTGGTAAAATGCGAGTCCACAGCTGTCTGGTGAGCCTCGCGCTGCTCCGAAATCTCCTCCTCCTCCCTGTCGGTGTCGGGGCTTCTGCAGCTGCTCGTTCCTCAAGTAAGCGTTGGTGAAGGGTTGGGGATTTCCACTTTGCTAATAGCGTTTGTGGAGTGGCGATGACACATTTCTGGGGCGTCCTGTGCAGTGGAACTCGAGCGAGGACAAGCGGTCCAGTCACAGGAGCGAGCTGCCGCTCAGCTGCTTCAGGAAAACACTCTCTGGCTCTGTGGCGTCCAGTGAGGACGGTCAGCGTGGTCCCGGGAGGGATGCTGGCTTGCGGCTCTCTCACAGGCCGACTGAAGGGGTTCCGTGGCTCAGCGGCTTTCGAGGCACATCTGCAGTGGGATGATACCTAGGCACTTGCAGTTTACCCACCCGGGTACCACCTTGTCCCCACCAGCTGCTTTGTGACACTGGCAAGAACCTTCTCCTTTTTCTTTTCGATCCTGGGTTCAGTGGCTGGGTGCTTCCTCTTGTACACGGCCTTCCGGGATCCATGGCAGACAGGAGTATCTGCCGATGCCCCGGACTAGGACCGGCTTCGGCTGCAGTGGGGCTTCCCCTTCTTGGGCGTTTTAGCCTCGGCGTCACCCTCTTTAACTCTGCCGCTGGCATCAGCCTTCTTGGCTTCAGGTTCCTCTCCTTAGTCTCCTGCTCGGCAGCTCCTCACCTGCCACCTTGGATAGCAGGAACGAGAACTCCCATTTCTTCCTTGAGCTTTCATTTCATTTCTGTGTTTGTTTTTAAACACTGACTTTCTAGGTTGGGGCTTTTGATTCAGGGGGACCGCCCTATCCCTGAGCTGTTCCTGCTGGTTGAAGTTGCGTCTCCTGGTTCCCTCCTGCAGCCCCAGGGCAACCTGCCTCTGGGTGCAGAATTCCCCTCTGCCTCTCCTTGGTGATGGGATCCATGGTGGTGCTTTCCAGGCTTCGTGGTCTGATGGCGCCCTCTTCTGACGGTCCATGCAGTCCAGGTTGTGGAGCAGGCTGATGGCTTCGGTACAGCGTGGCCAAGTGTCCTCGGTGTGGGGCGCTCCTCTCTTGCAGACCCTGAAATGTCCCCCGTGTTGTCTCCCCACCCCGTTGTCAAGGGCTTTGCTCCGAACGTTCAGTTTGCCCTTGGAAGACTCCGCCAGCTATTTTTCTTAAGTTTTTACCATAGGGCACATGCACCTGCCGGAGAGAGCCAGAGGGAGGGAGGGGCAGGCAGGCAGAGAGGGAAAGTGAGAAATCAACCCCGGGGATGGCCATGCCATAGACCCTTCTCCATTCTCCTGGGGTGTTAGGCATACGCTCACTCATACCAGGCGTGATTTCCAAGCCACTGGGTCTGGACCCACACGACAGCCACCTGCTTGGCGCCCAGACGTGCCCCGCCAGGCTCGTTCCAGCTGTGGGGCGGCTCCGGCAGCTGAGGTCAGGGCAGGCACAGCCCGGCCTGCCGCGGCAGAGATGCCGATGGCCACTGTCTGGTCCCATTGCTCGGAGCTGCATCCACCTACACGGGTGCCTGGGGACTGCGCGTGCTCACGAGGCCCGGCCTGGGGACTGCGTGTGCCAAGGCCAGGAGCTCTGCTCTAGCTGAGGGTCTCCTGGAGAGAGGCTGTAGCCAGCCATCCCGGGGACCCTGTGCCCCAGGGCCATGCGCCCGCCATGCCATGACAGAGCCCCTCCTCCATCCTGGCACCAGCCTCTGCCCCTCCTGGACCTGCCCATGCCCCACGGGGAGTGGCTTTCTTGCTGCACTGACCCAGCCTCCCCTGCAGGGGATGCCCCTGGTGGAACCCCCTGTTCTCCGTTCCTCTCGACTGTCCCCCGATCCCTGTAAAGGGGGCCCTGTTCGTCTCCAACATGGAAACTCCTTGGAAGCAGCTGTGGAGGCCAAAGGACAGCCTGAGAAATGAGAAACCCAGCATGGGGCTTTCAGGCAGGACAGCAGCCGCGTGGCAGCCCAGAGGTGGGGTCTAAAGAAGGGTTGGGTGGGTGAGGGTGTCTGAGGAGGTGACACAGCCCCTTCTCTGACAGTCACATGGATGAAGAGCACGTCAGAACCCCAGGTGGCCCTCTGAAGTCTGCCCATAGCAGAGGCCCAAGGGCAGGACCGGCCGGCCGGGGCAGGACCTGGTGGCCAGGGGCAGGACCAGGCAGCTGGAGCAGGACCGAACGGCCAGGGGCAGGACTGGGAGCTGAGCGCTGGCCTTGCCTGCCCCCTGCTGGCTGCCCTCCTGACTGCACAGCAGGCCTCTGAGCTCGGAACCGGAGAGCCCTGTGGGTCTTACTCGGACCTGCTTAGGGATGGAGACGAGACACAGGTGCTTGCTTAGTCGGGCTCTCTGCTAGGAGCTCTGTGCTCTGCCCACGGAGGAGGCCGTGGACAGACTTCATCACCGGGGTGGGTAGGGCGTGACTGCCAGGTGAGCCTGCCCCGCGGCCCTGCTCTCTGAGCGGGCGGTGGTTTAGATGGTGCTGGAATTGGCGGGTCGCCGGTACGGCTGGCGTGTGTAGCCAGGGGAAGCGGGTGTCCCGGTCTCGGCACAGACGACCGCTCTCGCCATGGGACAGCCTTGCCAGCTGGGAAATCCTGACCTTCGTGAGCCGGGTGGCCCCAGCGTGGCCCCTCGGTTTCCCCAGACAGGCTCGCTGGACGGGGCGCGT